TAACTTAAAGCATCATAAGTACATTTTTTTTATTAAAACACAGAGTGAGTTAATTTCGTGATCCATAGGTTACAATTAACCTCTCCACCAAGGAATGACAAAATTTGAAAATTCTTACATAATTTAAAAACAAAAAATCTAGATGCACTTTAAAATAAAAGAGCTATGAGAGTTGGTTTTTGGTTAAGAAAAAGAATCAACATCTATTCTAAAAAATAATACAATAACATCAATACTACCAATAAATCAAGCTACAATGATCCATAGAAAAAAAAAAGACCATGTTGCTTTAACAACCATATAAATTTATATACATAATTCAAAAAAAATTTATGTAGGTGGCCACAAAACAACCAACAAAGCTTAGCTTGCTCTCAAAAATACATACTTCAAATATTACATTATTATTTAAGCTTCTCTAGAAGAAAACTTTATCATAATAAAAATGAGAGCAAAAGAATCAATAACATAATATTTACATAATTCTAAAATATTGCTTGAATAATATCACTCCGTTGAGATAATAATTCTACTTCAAATAAAAATCCTTGCACTTATAAAGTCCATGCTATTTTATTACAGCACAATTATTCAAACTCTTTATATTACATAAATTATAATACTATCCAAATTAATTGCTATTCTGTTTCAAAAAGAGATGGCTATAAAGGCATATCTTTTGAATTTCAAGCAAACTTTGTCAAATGCAAAGGTGAGGACAAATATCAATCACAATCAATTACAAAAAAATCACAAAATGATAAAAAAAATTCAAAAAAATAAATCAAAATCAATTACTTCATGATTCTATTGCAAAAAAATTAGGCATTGGAATTCAAAATATTTTACTAAAAAAATTAAAAGCTTAAATAAATTTTATAAATATATTTCATGATAATGAAAAGTCCAATGAAAGTTAAAAAATATAAAGGAAACTCTTTTATCTTTCTATACTCATATATATCTTACACAAGCATATTGCTTAGAGAAATCAATACAACTAAAAACAAAAAAAGATTAAAAAATGATTTATCGACATAAGAACCACATATTACTAAGTTCACAATAAAAATTAATTTATTTCTTTAAAATTATTATCACTTAAAAAAAATAAAGTTTATTTTGATAATAACATTGACTTTCTTATCTATAAGCAAGATGAGATTGAAATATTTATAGTCAATAGTAAATCTATTTGATTCACTAGTATACTATGTCTTTAATCTATAAAAGAATCTATTCTTTGTGAGTGGCTACAATCAACAAATAAAAATCAAATCAAATCAAATCAAATCAAATTTGTTGTTTTATTGTATAAGATGATTCTATTTTAGTATCATATCTACTATAAGACAACCTATATTTTCTTAGTATTACCATACTTTAAGATAATAATATTCAAATTTATATTTCAATCACAAGTCTTAACAAAGCAATAGCCATCTTTATCAATTTTTTTGTTGTTGCTCTTTCCAACAACTATGAGAATAGTAATTAGGTACTTGAATTTTACCTTCTTCAATGAAAAATCATATATAAAAAGAATCTCCATAGACATAATCATTCACATTTTCATTTCTTATCACTTATTTTTTATATATATTTGAAGTTATATTTTTTTTTATTATTTATATTTTTTTCTAAATAATATCAATAATAACCTCATGAATTTTTGTCATAAAGTGGAATCAAATGCAAGATTGCAATAATCAAAGATTATAGTATGAGATAAATACAATTTTCTATATCTTTGATTTTTTCAATATATGAAGACTGCTCCTTGTACAACTCATCTCAAGAAGGAGAGGTAATGTCACAGATATACATAAGTACTCTAGTAAATACCTATATGATTAGGTAGAAGTAGGTAAAAATAAATAAAAGTAGATTAATTTCATAATATCTTCTAAAAAATCTTCTTAGAAGCTTCATAGATGCTGCTTTGACTTCACATGTATTTATAGTTCATTAATAGATTAGAAACTTGGTCAAAAAATTAAACATGTATTGATAGCTTATGGAACAAGTTAACTATATGGTGCACATATAAAAAACTTGCCTTGCAAGTTAAGATATAAGTCTTGCAAAGTCAACACGTTTTAGAGGTCTTATAAAACATCACTATGTAGCTCCTAGTTAAGAGTATATATGGAGGTAAGAGTGAAGCCTTCTTTACTCTTGTTAATACCTTTTTAGTCCTTAGTCTTATTTCTAGACTTTCTAGTCTTCTTGTTTTTGGCAATAGCCATTCTACTTCAATAATATGTCATCTTTAAGTGATTTTTTAGTTCTTTTCAGTGTTACAAGAGTGTATTGAGGATTTCTTTTTTCAAGATTCATGTCTTGACATATTGTTGTTTTAAAAAACTAAAATGACTTCTTTATAAATAAATTAGTGTTTTTATTATCAAATCACTTTTAATTTCACCTTTAAGACTTTTTTTAAGTCTTATACACCAAATAAATCTCTTGTATAAGTTTTTCCACTCTTCAATCATTTTTAATCTTTCAAAATATCTTTTAGTACTATAAAAGTTTTTTTAAGAATTTTAAGCAACTTACTATATAAAAGTACAATGTTAATATATTAATGACATTACTCATCAAAAAAATAAAATATTAATATTTTAAAATATTATTCAAAAGTATCAAACAAATCTCAAGCCCATATATGTATTTAACAATAAGTCATAATAATATTACATCAACAATTAGATGCAAAAGTGAAATTAGAAGATTACAAATCCTATCATCTACAATAATTATAAGATCTACTCCTTACAACAATAAAGACTTGAAAAACTTTGAAACTAATAAATAAAGGTAAGTGGTCTTCTAACCTATTGAAGAAATATAATTTAAAAGTCTCAATTTATAGCATCAATAAGGTTATACACAAAGAGAGTGTAGAATAAGATAACTCTCATTTCCAACATCAATTACTTATAGGTGGTAGTTGATGTCCTTATTAATAATTTCTATCTTTTAATATTTACATCCATCCAAAGATATATTAAATATATTCTTTGATATCTTATTTAGAATAAAAATATGCATTTAGCATATCTTCTACACTCCTAGGATCCTTTAATAACTCATCTACCTCAAAGATATTCTATGGTATTTACTTTATATTCTTACATAGTCTTTAAATATTTTCTAATTGATTCTTTATCCTCTTGACCTTGTTTCTTGGCTCTTGACATCATTCCTTATTCATAAGATGGCCTTTCCATATACTAAGAGTCAACTTTTTAGCCATTAACAACTTATTAAAGGTAATATCCTCTATTAGGTAACTTATTCTATTTTTATTTTTACTTACTTATTTACTTTAAGACTTTTGATAAGTCTTAGTAGTTTTTATATAAAGAGGATCCAAAAAAATTCAAATTCTATTCTTGTATACAAGGATATACCAACTAGTCTGAAACCCCAATTGATTGTTGTGAATGACAAATTTCCATTTATGAATTATATCACAATCCTTGAATAAGAATTGTTCAAAAAAAAACATGAAGTACATCAAGTGGCACTAGCTAAGTGGACATATGTTTTTCCACATGATTATTGACTTAAGTGATAAGAAACATGTTAAGAAAGAAGCAGGCTTACTGTGGCTCATTTGGCAGAGAGTCATGGTTGAAAATGCATGGTGAAGACCCGTAAATATTACAATTGATCAACATTGCCATGTAAGCTTAAACAGCACACGAGAGACAGTCCTCCATAGGTTTTGAGAATGCATGTCAGTACAACAAGAGTGGGGTTGGGGGAGGAATGTCTCGCTACTCCTCACTTGAGCTGGTGCCCATCTGGACCCCTCCGGGCATCTTGAGAGCAAGGGGAATCAGAGGAGCTGGGCTCCTGGCCTTATTAGGCCAAATTAGACTGTGTTGTGGTTCTGGCCGGACCTGGCTGGACCTTTGTTGTATAATCTTTTATCCACGCTTTATAACCTTTTATAACCCTTTGCAAACCATTTGTACACCCGGCAATAGAAGTTTTTTTTTTAATTTGTGTCAAAGAATAATAATAATAATAATAATAACAACAACAACAACAGTTAAATACACACACAAGTTAACAGAACGGGTAATATCCATATTTAACTTATGCAGAGAGCAGCTAATAATGACGTCCATGAGTGAAAGCAATTAGACCATTCGTCTTGAACTGTTTCATAGGATCCATGTGCAGTGAATTTCAATCTCCAAATCAGGTGAATTGTATGATATCAATGCATCCATGGCTACTCTTGGTGATAAATAGTTCAAAGAATTCCTTATTTCTGCGCGAGAGGACCGCAATTATTGGTACTTTTACTTATCGTGGTGTGCGTGGAGATCCCTCCACATTCATTGATATGCTCCACTGTCAACCACGCGAAAATAAAATGGTGCTTGAACGGCACATTTCCATCAGATGATTGACAGACATGGGGACTGGGAGAGGAGATTGACAGTGCGCATTTCGGGCACAGCGGGTTACTTTAATAAGAGTTGTGAATTTGATGACACTTGGACTGCATACATTCATAAGCTTTTTCTGATTATGTCATTATCAAATTAGATTTACACAGCAATTAGTGTTTAAAGGCGGGTACCATGTAGATGCTTCACGTCAAAGTTTCACATATTAAAAGAATATTCAGTAGTTAATTGCCTATGTCAGCAACAATTATGCGTTTCGGAACGGTTACTGAACGATCCAATTTGAGTGACATACGTCCGAGTCAAATGGTGGCGGATTCTTCGATGTTCTCACCGCGACAAATTCTTATGGTCGCTCATGCATCGGCTCGATTTTCTGCACAACAATTCCAGAAGACACGAGACATTGTGACAATTATCACGGCAACCAAATTGAGTTCCATGCCGCATGACGACTGCATTGTATTACTCTGGGACCGCGACTAACTGCAACAAGGAGCAAGTCCCTATCCGACCTACAAACGCAAGATTCCGTAGAATGTAACATTGCATACTGCTCGGATGCTGTGGCTGTACAAGCTTGGTGGGTGAGGCTAACCTTTCAAACCCATTACTCATTTCCACATTTAAGGTAAAGCTGGCAACAAATCTTCAGGAATTTGGCACAAGGAATTGAATAGGGTAAATTGATGAGGTTCCACTCGAAGTTCTGCTTCGTAAAAATATGGACACTCTCGAGAGTGGAATGTGAAAATATACACCTATACTTCTGAATGAATTCCGACGCTAAAGTGTCCCCTGGTTCGTCATATTCATCTAGGGGAATGAACATGTCAGTTTTATGGCACGAAAGAAAGGGGGTCAAAATTTCATATAAAATATTGTTCTACGGATGCACCTTCAAGGGTAGGGGGACATTCCTACAGAGGGGCCATTTGACTGCCACTCAGGCGCCCAGGCCTTGGAAATGAGCATGTAGTACAACTCACTGAATAATGCAGTGAGGAAGGAAAAAGCAGCAGCTGCCTCAAACACGCTCTTCCGCACTTCCCGACATGTGACATTTGCTCCAAAATAATTAAAGTCGCCCTGAGTTTGAATTTTGTTCTGAGCTGCTCCAGCAATCAGAGCTGATGATGCAACAATGAAGCAGAACCTGCGGAGACAATCAATCCAGTTTTTCATCTCCTGGAGTATTGCGAGCAAAAGTGTATTGTGGTGTGATTCACAGGATAGCACAGGCCAAGTAGAATGGTTGTGAATAAAAAGATTGAGCTCACCAGGATAGTATGTACGCAAAAATTCCGAACGTCTTAGCACTTCCGGGGATGAGCTTTCCTCCACAACATAGGCAACGGGTCGCAAACAGGATGACCACATGGGCGACTACCAGGCAGATAAGCGCTCCGGCAGCTAGACCAGTTGAGATGTCGGAGGTGTACAAGCACCTAATTTTACCTGTGGCGATATCTACCTCTTCGACAGCCTGCATTTTGAATCGAAAATAGGGTATCAGGTGAAAGGCGAGTGCTGACAAAAGATACCTGACGTGAAAGGCCATCGTGAACTCCTGAACGCCATAGGATCCACACAAACACGTTGTTTGGCAGAACTTTCTACTCACACACCGACGAAATGCTGGTGATACTCAAGTAGGTCATTCGAAAGAGCAAAACTACGCCAAAAACAGTGACGGAGTCTTTCGACAACCCAAGACACAATTGGGCGCTGTGATGCACTATCGCACTGGCCAAGTCGTATTTGGCAGCTAAGAAAGGCCGAGCAAACTATCGTTACCATTTATTTCATTCATTTCCAGTAAAACAGTTTTTTATCTTGTTGGAGAGAAGAAAGGAATGCGAGTCGAAGACAGAAGAACGAAGAGATTCTGGCAAGGAAGTCTACCGTGCTTCGCTTCACAGCGGCTGCCACAGAAAGGCAGAAAGAAAGAATGTAGAAAAGGAGACTAACTCCAAGAGCTACAATCTTCACCATTTTCTTAAGATCCTGTTACCTACGCAGTTACAAACAGGTCGTAAGGGTTCCGCAAATAAATGATTACACAAACTGGAAATTAATTGCGAACCGAATCCTTCCACTTAGCAGCTGATGAGTCAAGGAAGTCCCCATTTCCCAGCAGAATGAACATGTCAAAATCCACATAGAGAGATGGTTGAAAATTTTGTGCTTGAGGGATCGTGATAATAAAATAAAAGTAAATACTGCCTTACCCTGTATACGGCGGCAAGATGTCCCAGAAGGTGAGCAAGCGATGTATTTCTTGAACTTACTTCAAACTCCTTGGCGTTGAAGGCATCAGAACCCGAAATCGCTAACGCAACCGATCCCAACCAGCTGCATACGTTTACGTATCAGATCCAACGATTACAGATGCGGCAACACTTGCCGAAACTAGATGACGTGCTCAAGCTTCAACCCCTTAGAACTAACCTCACCAGATCGACTCGTCAAACTCTAAATCTACAGACACCCCACCCCTAAAGCAAATACAATAGCCAAACCCCTCGCTCAGAAGCCGCAACTCGAATTCTTAGGAACGAAAATCCTTGACGGGACAACATAAGGAACTTACGATGAGGACGGGGGAGCACTTAGCGCGGCAATGATCAACAAATCCAGCGACTACACAGATCATAGGGGGGGGGGGGGGACAACGGCAAGGGAATAAACACTGATGTGAGCAAGGCAGGTGAGAGGTTGCGAAACGGCGGCAGAGTGATATGAGCTCGCACCAGTATCCAGGGCAGGAGTCAGGCTTGCCATATCCTTCGTTAATGAGCTAGAATCTAGATTACTTCTCGTAGGGGCAACGGTAACATAACGCGGCGTGTGAAGTGGGTTTGGCCGGGGACCTCATCATCCCTACGTGTGGACGAATGCTCCGCTCAGGATGAGCTCCTCGTCGTCGTCGGCGTCGAAATCGTTAGGTGGGTTGATCACCAAGGGAAGGTTCTCCATCTAGGGAATGGGTGAGAGGGAAGGTTTACTGGGTCAAGATTCTAAATCAGTCCCAAGTGCATGGAGCCGAGTTTTGATCGGATCTGACAGCGATTCCTAGATCTGAGGTCCACGTCCTGGTCCATAATAAGAATGTATCCACATGCTGGAGACCAACCCCACGCGTTCATTTGCTGTCCCGGTTTAGCTCACATATTCCGCAAGTCCAAGTGAATGCTCACCGCGCACTGTCCTCGGCACTTAGCCTTTCATAATAACCCACCAGTACAGTCTCTCTCTTAATACCCCTCCTTACTCATCCCCCTTTTCGATGCCTGCTCGGGATCGCTCTCTCATTTATGGATTCCAAACCGGCGCCCATTCGTATAAACAAGTGAAAACTCGCATCTAAACCGTATCCTTGTTATTAATGCAGTGGAAGATGAGAGTTACAGTGTCAAATGATGCACTTGGTGTAAGGGCGTTTCTTATTCTAGTTTGTGAAACTGTTCAATGATGAGGCCTGCAAAGGAAGGCAGGTTAAAACAGAGAGGTTGGTGGAGAGTGGTTGGTTGTTCAAAATCCCATCTGTGGAATTTCTAACCTTGTCTAATGGATGCTAACACAGGGAAGAATTGTCTGTTGATGTTCAAAAAACATACAAAATTGAATGCTGAGGTTATTTATGCTTCGTTGGGCACTGTTTGTTATTCCCTATTGTGATTGATTTTAATTTTGGAACTAACAGTGCTGTTATGATGTTTCACTTCCATCACTTAGAAACATTACAGTTTAAGCAAAACACGTGAATTGCAAAAAATAGTTCATTTGGAAAGGAGTTTCGTGGAAAATCAATAGTAACATTGTAAATTTTCATGAAAGATTTTTGTTTGTTTGTTTGTTTGTTTTTGTTTTATTTTATTTTATTTTATTTTGTTTTCTTTTTTTCATTCTCTCTCAGCTTATCAATGTAATTGTATATCTCAAAAATTTTAATGACATGCAAATTAGAAAATTAGGAAGAAAAATCAAAGCTACATTCTATTCTGTCAAAAAAAAGTGAATCATGGAGCAGTGACCATAAACTATTTTATTATACTTTATTTTTAATGCTGAATAGTACTTTTGTACTTTAAAATGAGGTGGATTTGTTTTGAAATTTTATTATCCTTCAGATGTGAAGAATTTTCTACCTCGTCCTTTTCAATCTATCAAAAACTTTACAAAACTTGGCTGCATGCATTAAATATGTTTAAATTATTGGACATACGAAAGAAATGAAAGAATTTTACACTTCATGATATTTATTCTACACACAACTCTATTGTCTCACACTTTGACCCACATACTTTACAATAGAGCAATAAATTTAGCATTTAAAACTAATTAACCAAAATACTAATATGATTTCATTGGTAATTACTATCATCAATTTTGTATGTGTATATATATATATATATATATATATATGTTTTTATGGATATACTGGGAGTTGCTGTTGCCACCACAATTTATGTTGCTATTACTACTACTTGCCATCCACCACATACCACCATGTTTCTTGCTAATGCTATCACAAGTTGGCTTACCACAAGATTACTGATTGAACTTCAATATCCTAGATCATTTCTTGGTGCAAGATTAAAGTTTGGGGTTAGAACTCAAAAACAAACTTTTTAACAAGATATTTTTTTGGAGTTTACTACAGCTTGTGATAAATGGCAAGTTGTGGTGGCAATAGAGACTCTCTCAATATACACATTAAGTTAGAATCTGATAACGCTACAAAATAACACACAAACATGCCTATCAACGAAGTCTGCAAAAATGCACACTGAAGCATTCACTTTCTAGGAGTCAGAGGAATAGATTGTGACTGCAACCGCAAAAGGAAAAAAGTATAGCCTGAATGGGCTGTGAGACGGTCAAACGTGCAGTGCTTCGGGCACCCAACTCACTCACAACCCATTTTTCATTCGGTGGCCAGCGTAGACGTACGACCACCATGCAGCGCAGATGCAGCTTGTGAGTACACTACACTCGAAGAGCTCACACTCAGAAGAAGTTTTTTGTTTATTGCTTTTTGTTTTGTTTTTATCTTTGTCTTTATTCACCGCTTACACGTCGTATGGTGGACTGAGCTAACGTTTCTCTGGGAGCCGAGGTACCCCGATAGAAAGCGAACACTGTAGCAGAGGATGGCGAGATGGGATTGTGCCAAAACATGGCAAGTCGCGACACGGTGACAGTGGGAGGGTGTGACGCATGATGCAGGTTACAGAGGGAGAGCTCCTCGAAGTGGCGATGAGTCACCACAAGAATGCCTCGCTGTTGAAGCGGCGCTTTGGGGCTGTGGCGTAGGGAGGAAAGTTAGAAATGGGTCCTCAGTAACCAAGGGTGAGGCGCTTCCACCACGAATTCAATTTGTGTTGTTGCAAGGAGCCTGGAGCCATTTTTTCCCAGTGTGCCAAGTGAAACCCACTTTCCTCCTACTAATTCTCCTCGTGCTCCTGCACGGCGCATCGTCGTTTCCTTCGATTAGTACCCGATTCTGGGCTTACAAGGTTGTAAAGCCCATTAAAGATGGATATTCATTCGGTTGTCAAGCCCATTAAAGATGGATATTCATTCACATGCTGCGGCAGAGAAAAAGCTGCGGCTTTTCCTTCGCTTTCTTCGCATATATGTATATTAATATTTGTTAGGATAATTGAATTGCTCTAAATTTTATGTGGGCAATATATGTAAATAACAAGTCAATATTGATGTATTTCTCAAATCACCTTGTTATTTATACAAAGACAACTAAGTTCTGTAAAGCTTCTACAAGAGATTCAACTAGTTATAGAACATTCTAAAGTTTTGAAGTCTACTAGTTATAGAATATTCTAAAATTGTAAAAACTTCAAAAGTCTATCAAAAGTCTTTGATAGAATTTCAGAAGCTTATGGAAGAATTGAGATTTATAAAAGTTTGAGTTAAAAAAAACTTTAAAAAGATTCTAGAAAGTTCTTAGATTTTAAGTAATTTGCTTATTTATTTCTGTAAAAAATTATAGATGTACTAAAAGAACTTTATTTGGTATATGCCATAATATTTATGTAATAGATATATTGGCTTATTTAATTATCCACTAAAATCATGCTTTCATGATGTTAATAAATTCATTCTTATAACTTGGATTGTATTTAGATCCTTCAAATATTGTTAAAAAATTATATCTTAATTCTAAAGTTTAATGCTATAAATCTGAGTAGTGTAATAAAGGTTTAAATATCTTTTTAAAAATTTACATGTTAAATTTGCTCATGAAAGATTTATGCTTGATGTTTAAAAGGTCTTACTTTATTTTAGAGAAGTTAATATGATAATAAAAATTCTTAAAATTATTAAAATTGGTCCAAAATCTATAACAGAAAATTGCAAGTTAAAAATATTATAATATTATAGAGATGTTATAACTTAATAGACTAACATCTTTAATAATATATATATATATATATATATATATATAGGGAGTTGTTAAAGCCACACCCTAATGTTCTTAAAGCCACATCCTACATTGCCATCTCATGATTGATTTCATACATTCTCCATCTCTATATCTTATTTTATATTTTCCATTCCTAGTTTCCTATGCTTGTCCCTTGTTCCCTATCTTCCAAAATTAATCATTACATAGTTAGGAGGGTGTAGCTTCAACAACTTCATAGATATATTTTCTCTCAAGAAAATTATATTTGAATTTATAAATTTTTTATTAGTATTTATATAATTTTTTATTTGAAATTTTGTAATTAATTTTGATTTTTTTAGAATAAAATGAACGTTCATTTTAGATGAAAAAAATAAAGAAGATTTTATGACTTCAATTTTATATATATATATATATATATATATATATATATCTTAGCAAGTTTTTTTTCTACTTTTATAATCATTATTTATTTGATTTATTTATTTACTTTACTATTTTACTATTTAAATATTTAATTTATTCGAAAAAATAAAATAAACATTAAAAATAAAATAAATCTTAAATTTAGAATATTTTAATTACAACATGTATATTCAAAAACATCTAATTTTTTATATTTAAAATTATGAAGATGCATTATTGATGCATTTTAGATTTGGCCAACTAAAAATTAAAACTTCTTTTAAAGAAAGTTAAAATATTACATGTTATTTTGTTTAAAACTTATAATATAAAACCATTATAATTTAAATTTATATATAACAGTAGACTATGTACTTTAACTTAATAAATTTGATATTTAAATTCATATCTATTATTTTAACTATTTTAAGTAAGTATAATGGTATATAATTATAAAAATAATTCTTTTCATCTCAAATATTTTATTTTAATATAAAAAAATACTAAGTACCAATACTTTATTTACTTGTATGAAAAGATAATCTACTAAAATATAGTTTATTTATAAATATAAATAATTTTTAATTTTGATTTTTTATATTTATATTTCTATTGCAAATTATGTTTATATACTAAATAATAACTGGAATATTTAGCGCCATAAATAACACATACTTAGATTTTTTATTTATTTATTTATTTATTTATTTATTTTTTATTTTTTGTATAATCATGTTTAAAACTTTATATTGTAAATTTTTTAGAAAAACTTTTATCTTTCTTCTTATTTCTTATAATAATGTAAGGTTATTATTTTTAAAAATTATTCCAAAGAATGATACAAATCATGTTTGCATATTATATCAAATGTCCACAAGAAGCCATGATGATGACAAGTCATGATCTTATATGTGTT